TATATGGACCTAAATAACAACATATGTAGCCTCAGCTGAAATGCGCATGTGCGCACGAACGCCATATTTATGAGGTTACTCGTGGGGGGTCTCCCCTTCTCTCCTCACCCCATCGACCAACCCTCTGAAGCCTGACATGTCACAAGACAAAGCATCTGATGGATGATAAATGGTTCTTCCACCAAACGTCACTATGGGGCGACACACTGCCAGAGAGGTGGGAGGAAACGGGCAGAGATAAAGTGATGGCGTTTCTCTGGGCAGGGATGAGCGAGTGAGCGAAGGGGCACAAAAACAGGAGAGATAGGAGACAGTATGCAGAGAGAAGAAATACTTTGTGATGATGAAGAATTTTTCAGATCGCAGACAAGAGTGTGGGTGGGTTTGTAGACAGAGGACAGAAAGTATGAAATATTGAGGAGGCTCAGTATTGGAAAACGCCAGCCCTTCCTCTTAACTCACAAACAAATCTTAGATTTTTCAGCGATTACTTAATTAATATTGATTATTTAAACCATTAAAAATATAACAAATTCTGCCTGTCAGCGCACACTCCGTTAATGAATGACGTGGTCGAGTGGTTAGAACTCTTGCTTTCTCTTATAGAGGTTCCAGTTTCAAGTCTCGATCGGAGACCGGCTATCCTGACAGGATTTCGTGCTCTTCTCATTCCGCCCAGGCTAATTCCTGGACATTATCTTAAATTAGGCTACGGCTGCTTCCTTCCATATCCTTTCCAATTCATTATGCATTAATCATTCCACCATTCGGCGTATATAATCTGTGCTTTGGCAGAACGTTATATAAACCTCAAACGAATAAATAAAACATACACCAAATTTTTTGTCTTCTATTTTTAAATATGCTGTATCAAGTTAATAAGTGATTGCAAACGACAAAGTGGAAAGGTTATTGAGAAAACGGATTGGGGGCTTTTCTAAGGTGTTCTTCTATAAAGCGAAGCAAATGGAAATAATCACAGGAAACCTTATTCAAGATGGCTGACATCCTAGATGCCGAGAATCGCAGTCGGGATGGAAGAGACCTCAGGTATAAAATGCAGCAACAATATTCGCAGGCCA